GGTCTGAGAAAAAAGCTCAAAAAAAAATAAAAAACATCACAGAAAAAATAATATAGGTTCAGTAAAAATGTTCCTCCAAAAATAGGCTAATTAAAGAATTAAAAAACAAGTAAAAAATTATCGGTCGGTTTTGCCGACAGATGTATAGCCTCAGCCATTGTACGATTATTTTCAAATATTTTGACTTCCGATAAAAGTATTGAAAAATTGTGACCCTTTGTGGGTGAGGTACCAGAAGGGGTTCGCAGATATATAGCATCTTCACAACAGATCTTGTGTTAGCAAAAAGATTTGTATGCCAGAAATATAAAGAGAACCTGATGCTTATTTCGGATTTAATAAAAGTTTTCGTTATTCAAAATCTTGAACCTTATGTGGGGCAGGTAGCAGAAAAAATGGTCGAATCTCTACCGTCTTTATAACAGATCCTGTGTAGATAGAAATATTGAGATGTGCCGAGTCTGGAATGGAATCGGATGTTAATTTCGCATTTTATGAGCTTCATAAATATTCAAAATTTCGACCCTTTGAGGGGGAATGTGCCAGAAGGAGTGGACCGATATATTCCATCTTCACAACAGATCAGCAGAACAGCAAAATTTTTGTATGTGTAAAATATAAAGTGAACCGGATGCTTATTTCGGATTTTATAAAAGTTTTTCTTATTCAAAACTTTGACCCTTTGTGGGGGAGGTACCAGAAGGAATAGTCCGATATCTACCATCTTTATAACACATTTTGTATTGATGGAAATATTCAGATGTGCCAAGTCTGGAATGGAATCGGATATTAATTTCGCATTTTATGAGCTTCATGGATATTAAAAAATTTTGACCCTTTGTGGAGGAGGTACCGAAAGGAGAGGGCCGATATATCCCATCTTCACAACAGATCTTGTGTTAGGAGAAATAATGGGATGTGTGAAATATAAAGAGAACCGGATGCTTATTTCGGATTTTATAAAAGTTTTTGTTATTCAAAACTTTGACCCTTTGTGGGGGAGGTACCAGAAGGAATGGTCCGATCTCTACCTCCTTTATATCAGATCTTGTGTTGATAGAAATATTAAGATGTCCCAAGTCTGAATTGAATCGGATATTAATTTCGCATTTTATGAGCTTCATAAATATTCAAAATTTCAACCCTTTGAGGGGGAATGTGCCAGAAGGAGTGGACCGATATATTCCATCTACACAACAGATCTTGTGTTAGGAGTAATATTGGGATGTGTGAAATATGAAGAGAACCGGATACTTATTTCGGATTTAATAATCGTTTTTGGTTATTCAAAACTTTGACCCTTTGTGGAGGAGGTACCAGAAAAAATGGTCCGATCTCTACCATCTTTATAACAGATCTTGTGTTGATAAAAATATGGAGATGTGCCACGTCTGAATGGAATCTGATGTTAATTTTGCGTTTGATGAGCTTCAGGGATATTAAAAATGTCGATCGTGTGTGGGGGAGGTGCCACAAGGAGTGGACCGATATATCCCATCTTTACACCAGACCTTGGGTTAATAAAAATATGTTGATGTGTGTAATTTGAAGAAAATCGGATCACATTTTATAAGAGTTACAATTATTTAAAATATTGACCCTTTTGGGGGAGGTACTGGATGGAGAGCAGCTATATTGTCCATTTTCGCACCTGACCTAGCACTGATGCAAATGTTAGGATTTGCAAAGTTGGAGCAAAATCGGGCCAGCCTTTTGCTTTCTGTGCAGTAAAATATTTTTTTTTTTTTTTGAAAATTGCCACCTTTTGTGGGAAAGCTACCAGAAAGAGGTGGACCGATGTTGTCCATCGGGTTCGGATCTAAGTTTAACAAAAAAAAATTACGATGTGCCAAATTTGGATCAAATCGAATACTCCCTTCGACAGTTATCGTGCGCACCAGCCAGCCAGCTATATGGACGGACGGCTAACCCTAGATCGACTCCGAATGTCCTGAAACGGATTTGGCCCAGAAAAAAATCCTAAGCTCTAAAGCCTTGATTCTGATTAGGCACTTTTTGGTCATATCAAATGATATATATCCGGGCAATCCTAGATCGACTCCGAATGTCCTGAAACGGATTTGACCCAGAAAAAAAAACTAAGTTCTAAAACCGTGCTTTTTTGTGGTACGTTTTGGCCACATCAAATGATATATCTAGGCTATGTAAGCCTTAAAAATCCATGTTTGAATTCTCTTGGAAATCATTAAAAATCTCCATTGCAGATCTCCTTGATTAACCTTAAAAATCTGGGTAAAGTTCTGCTTTAAGATCTATAAAACTGAAAGTCATAACTCTCCTCAAATTTTCCAAAAATTGGCATTGTAGCTTTCCTTTGAGGTCCTTAAAATGATGACTATCGTATTTAAATAAAAAATTAGGTTATAGTTCTTCTTCTAGAATATCTTTAAAAATCCATGTCATCTCTCCTTGAAGATCCATCCAAAATCCATACCTCAGTTGTCCTTTAATTTTTTTTTAAATCCGAAAGGTCAAATTATCGTTCACCTGAATATTCTAGAAATCCAAGTTAAATTCTCGTAGATGATAATTAATAATTCATGACAAAGTTCGCATGATCCCTATGCCTTCTTGAAAATCCCTACGAAATGCACAATGAGGATCCACAAGAATCCATTTTATCTTGCAAATCTCCTTGATTCACCCAAAAAAATCTGGGTTAAGTTCTGCTTTAAGATCCATAAAACTGAAAGTCATACCTCTCCTCAAAGTTACCAAAAATTGACGATGTAGCTTTCTTTTGAGGTCAGCATAATTACGACTACCATAATTAAATCAATAAAAACCTCGATCTGTAAGATTTCCTAAAACTCCGACCTAAGAGTCTGCGAAAGAAAATCTGAAGGAAATTTTGTTTGAAAAACAAAACTCGACTTCAAGGTTTCTGAATTTTTATACCCTCCACCATAGTATAGAGGGTATTTGAGATTGTCATTTCGTTTGTAACACCTCGAAATATACATTTTAGACCCCATAAATTTTATATATTCTTGATCAGCATAAAATTCTATGTCGATTTAGCGATGTCCGTCCGTCTATCCATCTGTGGAAGTCACTCTAGCTTCCGAACGAAATTATGTGGATTGATAAAAATTTACTCAAATGTGTATTATGTCTGCAGAACTTTTGGTATTTAAAATGGCCCATGTAGGTCCACATCTTCGTATAGCCCCCATATAACGGTACCCCCCCCGATATTCGGTATTTTGATGATTTTAGAGACATTATTTACCGGAATTGTTTCAAATTTCGTATTTAAAGTTCGTAATGGATACTATATCGTAAGACAGAAAATGAGCCATGTAGGTCCACGTCTTCGTATAGCCCCCACATATAGGTACCTCCCGATATCGGGTATTTTGATTTTATCGACATTATAACAGATTTTTTTTAAGTTTCGCATTTGAATATTGTAATGGCTTATAACAAATGTTACCTACGCTGGTTCCTGTGGTCGTATGGGCCCTAATATAATAGCTACATTCTGTATTTTTAAGATTTTAACAGAATTTTTAACGGATTTTATTGTTTTTGAGAATTGCCAAATTTGTTCCAAATGGTGGAGGGTATTCAAAGTTCAGTTCGGCCGAACTTACAGCTTTTTTACTTGTTTTTTTTTTTTTTTTTTTTAATAAATTTCCGAACTTTTTTCTTTAAAAATATTGGACCTCAAGGCCTGCAGGTTCTCCATAAAGAAATCATAATTTCAGATGACAATATCCATAACGATTGAATATCCAATTGAAATTAACGCCAACCTAAGGCTGACCCAAAGGATTCTGTATTTCATTTTTTTTTATTTATTTATTTATTTTTTTTTTTTGTTTGTAGAATAAATTTCCGAACTTTTTTCTTTAAAAATATTGGACCTCAAGGCCTGCAGGTTCTCAATAAAAATCATAATTTCAGATGATAATACCCATAAAGATTGAATGTCCAATTGAAATTAACGCCAACCTGAGGCTGACCCAAAGGACTCTGTATATTTTATTATTACTTTTTTTTTTTGTACAAAAAAATTCCGAACTTTTTTCTTTAAAAATATTGGAGTTCAAGACATGCAGGTTCTCAATAAAAAGTCATAATTTTAGATGTAAATATCCATAACGATTGAATATCCAATTGAAATTAACGCCAACCTAAGGCTGACCCAAAGGATTCTGTATTTAATTTTTTATTTATTTATTTATTTTTTTTTTTGTAGAATAAATTTCCGAACTTTTTTCTTTAAAAATATTGGACCTCAAGGCCTGCAGGTTCTCAATAAAAAATCATAATTTCAGATGATAATATCCATAAAGTTTGAATATCCAATTGAAATTAACGCCAACCTGAAGGCTGACTCTGTATTTTTTATTTATTTATTTATTATTTTTTTTTTTTTGTAGAATAAATTTCCGAACTTTTTCTTTAAAAATATTGGACCTCATGGCCTGCAGGTTCTCAATAAAAAATCATAATTCTAGATGTTAATATCCTTCAAATTTGTATTAAAAAAATAAAAATCCAGGATTATATCAGCCACAATTTTTTTTATCAACATCAAACTGTCCTGCTGTGATGTCAACAACAAAATTGGTATTAAAAAATTTTTATAAAATATATATAACCGGATATTGGTACCAGCAAACGATGTCAGCCGAATCCATGTTTCTATGTAATTCAATACACATCGTAACCAAAAAAAATTATTGTAAATTTTTGCAGCATTTTCAAATTATAATTGTTCGATGTGTATGTAGGAGCTTTCAAACTTGTATGATATCGAACTTTTCCTCTATGATGTGGCTTAGTATTACACAGCCATAATTTTACTCAAACCCCCTTAAACCACATCAAATTTATTGAAAAAAATTAAATGTCTGAAGATCGAATCAAACTCATACAGGTTGTAAGCAATAAAAAATCACAATTATTTTATATTTCATTCAAACCAGTTAAAAAAAAATATGTTCCTTGCAAATAACTGTGGTACTTACTTGTCAATGTATTCAATGGTATCGATTTCCTTTTGCAATTTGTCTTCGTTGATTTTCTCCTCATCGAAGGTGCCATCTGGAAAAAAGAAAAGAAAAACAAAAACATAAAATGAATATCTTCCAATCATTAAGAGATTATTCTCCATTTAATATATCCCCCTCATAACTTTTCTACGGCAAAGAAAAATGTTTTAATTTAGTGCAGATCTCCCCCTACCCCTCTTTGAATTCGCTATGCGAAATTAATCCCATTTTAAGGTCTTAAGGTTTATTTTTAATTTTTTTTGTTATGCTTGCATTTAATGCTAAATGCAGTCTTTAAAACGTCTTTTGTCTGGCGATTCTCACGCATTCATCTCTTCGCTATGCTTGAGTTAATGGGAAAGTTCAGAAGCTCATTGTTTGCCCATCTCTAGGTTGCAAAAATACGAAAGAAAGAAATAAAAGAAGACCTTAACTTAACTACCACTTTTTTTATTATTTCTTTGAAAGAAAAAGAGCAGCAGCAGCAGTTAAACTAACCGCCATTGCAGCAGTCGGTAGTAGTAGTTTAAACTAAATGAGCAACAAGTTTATGATAATGACACGGCATGGCATGGCAGGGCATAAACATGAATTAAATTTCATGCAACCCGAAGTTAAAAGGGAAAACATTAAAGGGGATGGGTTCGGCTTTTGAAAAATAATCAAGTGGAAAAAAGGCCCACCATAAAGGTCTTTGTGAATGAGACAAATCACAAAACTGAAAGCAAGGCACTCGTATGTCATTGCAAAAATGTGAAGTAGTTTTTTAATAGAAACGGAAAATGAAAGTTTGTGGGGAAATAAAATAAGACTTTTGCTTGGAATTTTTATTAGCTGAAGTAAATAAACTTTGAGGTATTAGAAATAAAATGCAACATTTAGTGAACATCGAACATGTTTGATATGAATTTGGGAAAGTTATTAAACGCTTTTAATTGGGTATAACAGATTTTTCTAGGTGTCGAACCCATTCCCACAGCAGCCAAACTCATTAGATAGCGCTTGGTTGGATATCAAACCTGGCATTAAAACATGTTCGATATGAAAAATAGAGAATTCGGAAAAGTTGGGTATAAGCAATAGGGCCGAACCAGCTCCAACAGCAGCCAAATGTAAAAGGTGCGCTTGGTTTGATATCAAACCTAGCATCAAACTTCCTTTGTACCCTCAGTCTTATAAAACTCTTTATATAACAAACGTGCCATCAAACTACCTGTATTTTCTTAAGTTTGTCAAGCTAATAGTGCTTATTATGACGTCAAACCTACAATCCCACTGCCTTTTCAACCTTGGGTCTGTCAAACTTAAATAGTCTTCTTAGGGTATAAAAATGTCTCTAACTCATTGTATACTGCTTTGTCTAACTCATTGTATACTGCTTGATTTCAATCGAACCGCCTATGTCTCCTTCGGCCTATCAAGCTACTATTTTTTGGTTTGACATCAAACCTGGTATCAAACTCTTATAAAAAATGTGTCTTTATACCCTGAAGTTTGTCAAACTCATGGCATAGTGTTTAGCTTGATATCAAAAATCCCCAGACGAAGTCAAAATACATCCAAACAATTCTATGCCCCCTTAAACTACTATTACTTGTCATTGAACTGCCATCAAACAACGAAGGTTTGAATCAAGTTTGCTGCACATAGCATCCAACCGCCCAAGGTGAGCTTAAAATGCTTCTAAAACAATGCTATCTACTTCAAAACAGCTATTGGTTGCTATCGAACCAGCATCAAACCACTATAGTTTGGATCAAACTTACTAAGTATTGAGGCGTTGGTATCAAACTTTTTGAAAAAAAAAGCCAGACGAAGTCAAAACACATCTATTAATTCTGGGCCCCATCAAACTACTATTTGAGGTCTTCGAACTTCTGTCAAACCTTGGCAGTTTGAATAAAACTTGTAAAATTTGATTCAGTTTGTGTCCGACAGTCCCCAGATGATCTCAACATTCTTTCAAATGACTCTGGGTCCCATCAAACCGATATTGTCTAACTTCGAACTCGCTTCAAACCACTGTAGTTTTCAACAAACTAATGCAGCTGCTGCCAGCTGGGATCAAACTACTTCCTAAAAACCCAGTGTAAAGTAAAAATACATCCCAATAATTCGAAGTCACAGCAAACTACCATTAGTTGTCTTTGAACTTCTGTCAAACAATTCTAGTTTGAATCAAACTAGCAAATTTTGCTTCCGGTGATATCCAACTTCCCCAGGTGATCTCAAAAATACTTTCAAATGACTCTAGGTCCTATCAAACCGCTATTGGCTAGCATCGAACTAGCATCCAACCACTGTAGATTGGATCAAACTAACCAAGCTTCTCCGAGGGATCAAGCTGTTTTCAAAAGACCTCCTATGAAGTCAAGATATACCACATTTAACTAATAATGGCTACCATCGAACTTCTGCCAAACAGCTTTAGTTTGAATCAAACTACCAAAATTTGATTTACTTGATATCCAACTTTCCCAGATAATCTAGCAATGCTTCCAGATGATTCTAGTTCCAATGCAACCGCAATTGGTTGAGATCCAACTAGCATCAAACCAGTATAGTCTGAATCAAACCAAAAAACTTTGCTTCAGTTTGCATCCAACTGTCTCGAATGAAGTCAAATTCTACCCATCTACTATTAGTTGTCATCGAACTTCTGTCAAACAACTTTAGCTTGTGCCAAACAATCTTTCAACAGCTTTAACTTCGTTCAAATTTGTTTCACTTAAAATAGTCTACTACCGTTGACATTGAAATGACACCGTATACTCCTAAAATGGCTTCAAACTACTTTAAAAACGATTTCAGGCACAAAAATTGCTTCAGTCGGAAGCCACTGCCCCGCCTGAGCTTCCATAAAACCATAGGTCATGTCAAACTATTAATAGTTGCCATCGAACATAAAATAAACGACTGCCGAAATTACATCCTATGTGGTAAAGTTGCCATTGAACTGAGCCAGATGACTTTAAACTACATCCAAATGATTTTTGACACACCTAAACTGCCACTGCCAGTTCCTACGGATCTCATCAGGAATATTTTATGTGGGATTAAACTGTCAAGAGAATTACTCAGTTGCTGTCCAAATGTATCCGATGATTTCATACAACTATGAAATAATCTCAGACCCACTCAAACTAGTAGCGGACGACTAAAGACGGCATCAAATCACTTTCAGAAGAATGAAGTTGGTATCAAACTACTTTGGACAGATACAGCCTTTTATGTGGTATTAACCGGCAATCAAAACAAATCACTTAACATAACGTTCGAGTCCATCAAACTACCATCAGACCACAGTAGTTGGCATCAAACTAGTTTCAGAAAGATGCAGTTGGTTTCACACTACCTGCAAATGGAGTCAGTGTTTCATATGGCATCAAGTAGTCTTCAGAATAGTCAGTTACTTTGTAACAGCTCCGAAGGACTTAATCAAACTTGGCATCAAACCATTTGCAAATCGATTCAAACTAGCATCAAACTTATTTAGGTGGTATCAAACTATTATCTGAGAGATGTAGTTGTATCGAAATATGGCCTTGTCAAAATAGGTCAGTTAATTTCCATTTGCTTGTGATGGCCGCCAGCTACTTCCAAATTATTTAAGACTCAATCAAACTAATATCAGACGGCCAAAACTACTTTGGCAAACAATCAATTGATATTTTTGTTTTATTTGGCATTGAACTGCAATGAAAATTGTAGAGTTACTATCCAACGTCTCGCGATGACTGCAAACTGCATTCACATAACTTCAGACACCATTAAAATAGCTTCAAACTTCTTTAGGTTGCATCAAACTACTTTCAGAGAGAAGCTGTTCAATCGAACTTTTCCTACCTAATGTCAACATGCATTGTGACAATAAATGCTATGATAATTCTTCAGTTACTAGATTAGATCAAACGTGCATCGAACTTCTCCAGATGGTATCAAACTACTTTCGAGAGATAACGATGTCATCTCAAACAATTTTAGAAAATGTCAGTGTTTATTAAGTCGCTATCAGGATAGCTCAGGTACTCTCCATCTGCACCAGAAGGCCAACAAACTACTCCAAATAATTTCAAACTCCATCAAACTTCTTAAGTTCGTATCGAACTACTTTTATTGGCATTAAATGAAAATGATTGAGTTAGTGTCCAACTTTTCCACATGACTTCAAACGGCATTCCGACTTCAGAGATTATCAAACTAGCTTCAAACTTCCTTAGGTGGTATCAAACTACTTTTAGAGAGATAAGGAGAAGTATGAAGTCTTTTGCCAAAATATTGACATACATTTTGTCATCATGCGCTGTGAGAGTGGTTTACTTACTAGGTACTACATTAGTTCAAACTAGCAACAAACATCTTCAGGTTATATCAAACAAATGCAACCGTATCGAATGATATTATAAGCATTTATTGTGGTAGCTAACGACTATCAGAATAGTTCAGATACTTTCCATTTGTTCCACATGAACGAAAACTACTTCCAAATCAATTCAGACTTTATCAAATTAGGATCAAACCAACTTTATGACAAATGCAGTTGGAATCAAACTACTTTCAGATTGATGCAGATTTATCGACTTATTTTAGAAAATGTCCACGTTTATTAAGTTGCAATCAGAATAGTTCAGGTACTTTACATCTGCATCAGATGACCAAAAAAAAAAAAAATACTTCCAAATAGTTTCAAACTCCATCAAACTAGCATCAAACATCTTTAGTTGGCGTCAAACTACTTTCAGATAGATGCAGTTGGTAGTGGAATTACTGTCCAACTCCTAAAGATGACGGAAAACTACATTCATATAATTTCAGACACCTTCAAACTAGCGTCAAACTTCTGTGGGTGGTATCAAACAACTACTTTCGAAGAAATGCAGTCGTATCGAACTTTTTGTAATAATGTCAACATATGTTGTGATATTAAAGTGCTATGAAAATAGTTCATTTTCAAGCTAGCGAAATATTTGAATCTGGTATCAAACTTCTTTAGGTGGTATCAAACTACTTTCAGAGAGATGAGGTCGTATCGAAATATTGTAGAAACTGTCC